GGTCTTAGATTAGAACTGATGTCAACCCAGGGAAGGCTGTGTGAAGCCAGCCTGCAAATACTGAAAGTGCTGATTCTGCTGGAGAAATAGCAAGAGTTTAGTTCACAGAGATTCCTTTTTTTTTTTTTTTGGGAAGGTGTGTTGGGGCAGTTTCATAGAAGTGATATTGATCTGGGTATTAGAATCACATTATCTAGACACTGCTTAGCCTTCTAAAAGTTTTCATTGGATTCCCACTTGGATGAGGTAGTTACAGGGCACAACACAGGCCTAGAGCTAAGCTAAGTGGTTTGCCTAATAACTACAGCATCAAGGTGGGAGCCCTAGGTTGTGTGCCTCTTGACCTTGACCTTTTAAGATTTGTGTTATTTTTAATTATGTGTCTCTTTATGAGTATGTGCATTCTAGTATGTGCAGGTGCCCATAGAAACCAGAAGAAGGCATTTTTTCTGGAGCTGCGGTAGTTGTGAGCCTTCCGACATGACATGGGTGCTGGGAATTGAACTTGGGTCCTCTATAGGAGCAGTATGCTCTCTTAAGCGCTGGGCCATCTCTCCAACCCTTAGACCCTGAACTTGAATGCTTACTCACTCAAGTGCCGTGCTGAAATGAGACCGTATGATGTATAAGCCTAGACTTCATGCTAAGGGATAATTAAGTAGGAGTTGGGGGAAGATTGGATGAGCTGGATTGAGATGAATTGGAGTCCAGGCTTAAGAAATCTGAGTGTCAGAGCTTGTAGGAGGGGATTTAAAGGAGGAAGTGATTTGAAAGGCATCATTCTTGCAGTGCTGAGGAACTGTCTAGATCATATATGGGTGGTGAGATAGATAAAATGTTTACCAGAGTGTGGTGGCTGAGTGGCTGCTGGGAGAAGACTGCTTGGACAAAGATTCTAACCCACCCATGCTTTAGCTGTATGAACTTGGAGCCCCTAGCTAACAACAGTGTACCTCAATTTCTCCTCTGTAAAAGGGCCAATACTAGTACCTTCTTTTGTAAACAGTGGTGGAACTTTCTGTCCTGTTCACTAGATCCCAAATACCCGGCAGCTGCTTCCCAAATTACCACACAGAGGCTTATATTATAAATGCTTGGTCGATGGCTCAGGCTTATTACTAACTAGCTCTTACATTTAAATGAACCCATTTCTATTAATCTATTTATTGCCACATGGTCCATGGCTTACCAGTCCTCTGGAATCTTGTTCCTTGGGTGGCTGTCTCACGTCTGTCTACCCACCCTCCTTCCTCTGAGTCCTCAGTTTGATTGTCCTTATCCTCCCTTGCCATAGGCCCAAACACCTTTATTATCAGCACACATTCACAGCATACAGAAGGACCATCCCACAACATACCTTATAGGGTTGCTGTGAGGATTAAATGAGTTAGAAAGGATACACTATTGTAATCATCAACTACTACATTAGTGCCCATGTAGTGACACACACCTGTAATCCTGGTACTTGGGAGGTAGAGGCAGGATGATTAGGAGGTCAAGGACTTCCTTGGCTACATAATGGATTTGAGGCCAGCCTGGGCTACATGAAACATTGTCTCAATGCCCACTGACACCCCCTCCTCTTTTTTTAGTTTTTTGAGACAGGGTTTTTCTGTGGTCCTGGCTGTCCTAGAACTCACTCTGTAGATCAGGGTGGCATCAAACTCAGAGACACCCCCCCCACCCCACCCCCCGCGCGCCTCTGCTGGGATTAAAGGCATGTGCCACCCCCCCAACCCCCAGTTTTGTTTTTGTTTTTTTTTCCCCCTAGATTCTAAGTTATTTGTGTTAGTTGGGAATGAAACCAGTGTGACTATATGCTGTATAATAATGCAGCTACTTCTTCTAAGTCCAGCTCTGGCAGTCTTTAGTCTTGTGACAACATTTTCTCCATTAATTAAGTACAGCAGGTGAATTACTCTATTGCTTAGTGTGACCTCTCAAAAAGGCCAAGAAGGCAGGAGGAAGATGATGTGCATGCAGGTCATGCTTGGTGGCAGAGTGCACTTGATTCTGCTAATACAGACTGACCCAGGGTGGAACGGGAAGTCGGGTTCCTTCTGTGCCCACTAGGGGGCTCTCTTGCTCTTCCCCAGGCCTTTCTTGGCTTTTGCGACTTGGAAGTGTGAGGAAGTGTGAGGAAGTTTTGTCCATGTTGCCTTTTACTGAGCATTGAAGAATCTGTATCCTTGATACATCAGAGTTACAGCTTAGAGTGAGGAAGCTGGCATGTTACCACAGGTCCATCCATGTTTGTCGTTGGCTCTCCTTTTCTCCTCCTTTCTGCCCATTGGGGTTGCTGTTGGAAAACATCCAGGGAAGAGGAATGGGCAGGCTTTGTTTATTCCCAGGTGCATTTGACAATGAGACCCTCAGAAAGTAGTCCCTCTGTGTGTTTCATGGCTCTGTCCTCTGCCCACGTTCAGCATGCTCTGCCCTTTTCTTGATTTTGTTGGGGGTGAAGGGATCAGTCAGTCCTAGCCCCTTAGTGATTCGAGGTCCCAGAATGCTGTAGACAGCTGCCCTGATACTTCTTGTAGCCTTTGAAGTGGTTGACTGTCTCTGGGGGCCAGATCGAAGCTTCTCGGTTGTGCTCCAAAGGTGTTCGTCAGAACGAGTGTGAGTGCTGCTTTGTCCGTTCTCAGGAGCTCTAGCTGTGCAGGCAGTGTGTGCCAGGACCTTCCTGCTTCAGCCACTCCATGCCAGTTTGCTATGGTGAGAGCTGTCCACAGATGGTTTAATTTACTTACCTTTGGGAATCACCTTGTTCAAAACTAGGAGTAAACAGTGGCAAGTGCCCCATCCCTTCTTTTTTACACAGCTAGTTACCCCGTCTGAAGACGGCCGGTGTTACTAAAAGAACAGTGTGGTCTGTTCTGAGGTGATCTTCCACACAAACAAAGGTCGAAACGCCCCTGCCTTCCCCACTTTAACCCAAGTAAAGGCACAACGTGCTCAAGCTCTGTTCTGCCCTCTCTCATCTCAGCTTATTACATGCTGACTCACAAGAGACTAGATCCCTGCTAGTGGTCATGTGCATCAGCCTTGTGCTAGCATGGACGTACTGGATCAAAGATCAGTCTCATTTTACAAATGACATTAAATGCTACCCACATTAAGAGCCCCCGTTTACCAGTACGCGAAACGAGATGCAGGCCCGTTTCCCTGCACCAGGCTCACTACCCTTTGATGGTTGGCAGTGTTATCTCACTGTAGGATATGTGTGTTTATAGACATTTTTATGAAGGCCATCTATAGTTAGCTAATCCTCTTTGTTGAGTGGTCCACTGTCAGTATGCATGCATAAACAAGCATGTTGATATATTCATGCTACTCTGTGTGCATGTGTGTATGTGCAGAAGCCAGAGGGCAATGTGTGTGTCCTGTCTTCCTTAGAGTCAGGTCTCTTACTGACCCTGGAGCTGGACGATGGCCAGCAAGCCTCAGCAATGTTCCTGTCTGCCTTCATATTCTAGTCAACTGTCATTGCCCTGGTGATCAAGTAGTCTTTCATGCCCTGTCACTAGTGAGTTTGAGTGCCTTTTTAAATGCTGGCTTTTTGGGATTGCTCTTTTTTTTAATTAATTTTAATTTTAATTTCTAGATTTATTTATTATGTATATAGTGTTCTGCCTGCATGTATGCCTGCATACCAGAAGAGGGCACCAAGAGGGCATCAGATCTCATTACAGATGGTTGTGAGCCACCTTGTGGTTTCTGGGAATTGAACTCAGAACCTCTGGATGAGCAGCCAGTGCTCTTAACCACTGAGCCATCTCTCCAGCCCAGGGATTGCTCTTTTTAAGAAGTACTTATTCAAGTCTTTTACTCACTTTTCTTTTGGGTATCTTTTACTTAGGGACTTGAGAAATTGTATTCTGATGTGACTCCTTGGTCAGGTGTGTGCTTTGTGAATATCTCCCACTCTGAGGAAGACCTTCTGGTCTGCTGGTGTGACTGAATTACCTGGGAAGAGTGGGGTCTACGTAGCATAGTCTTGGGGGTCTCTGTAGAAGACACATGGGAGGATGAAGAGGAGCAGCCAACCTTGACTGTTAAGGATGGCCAGTCAGGCGAGGGGAACAGCATGAGCAGAGGCTCCAGGGTGGGATGAAGCTGGCACATTTGGGTACACAGAGCAAGCCATGATGTAGTGGGAGGAAGAAGTGCCAGGAAGGAACAAAGATAGCCCTGGTTTCTTTCAGTGCTGTGTGAGAGAGCAGGGCTTTACTTCTGTGTTTCGTCTGGTGCTCTTTATGATGTTTGCTCCCAGGGACCCTGGAGGTTTGCCTTGTCTTGGGAAGCTGGACCTCAATGCTCCTATTCTTCATTCTGCAGGTGTGGTGGACACAGGCCTGTTTATCAACATGGCGGAGAAAGTCTACTTTGGGATGCAGGATGGCTCCGTGAATGTGAGGGAGAAGCCCTTCTGACCCTGTGAGGAGCAGGGTGCTCACCTTGAGTCTCCAGCCCAGGCACAGTGGACATGCCTCTCCAGGAGCCTTTGCCTTAATGTACCTTAATGTAGCTGTCCACAGTGCCAGAGGGACAGCTGGCCGTGGGTGGGTGAGGGGGTGTCAAATCCAGTCTTATGAAGTATTGCTATGTGTCTTTTTAAAAAGAAATTTAAATATATATTTTTACTATTAAAATATTCAGTTTTTTTATAAAATAGAACTTGATTTTATGTTTTATATGAAACATTTACCAAAACAAAAAAAAAAAATGTATAAATAAAAACAGGTGGTCAGGACTGTCTCTGAAAGCACTGACTTGACTTGCTGGTTCAGCTTCTGAGGTTTTGGATTTGCTGAGAAATAACAACCCGACATTTCCTTAAGCCAGCCGGCAGTGTCTCCTGATGCCTTATGGGAAACCTTGTTTACTTTCTTGCCGTACTCTGTCCTGTTTTGAGGTTGTTTTCATTGTACCACTCCCAAGTCCTAGTTACGTTTTAAGATGAGGTTTACACAAGTCTGAGCGGAGCAGCGGGGTTTGTGGTGACTTGGGGATACACTCCCAGGTGAGATGCACCTTCTCTGGGACCCTGGCTTTGCTTGGGTCCTGCTGGTGGGAGCACGTGGTGGGAAGCTTTCGCCTGCTGGCAGTGCATAGCATGGCGTGAGATGTGCAGCACTTACTCTTTGTTGGAATCATTTTCTTTCTGTTAATATTGTTTTGTTCCTCTAAGAACACTTGTATGATTTGGCATCAGAAGCTGTCACTTTCCTGTGCTGTTTGAAGGTTGAAATAAACATTGTTGTGCCATTTTGACCCTTTGTCTTTACTGCGGATGTTGCACTGAAATGGGGATCAGTTTTGCTCACCTGGTTTATATCAGATAAGAGTGGGAGTCACTCAGGCATCTGAGACAGGCCAGGTAAATGCTTCGGTTCCGGCAGATTATCATCTCCTTTTTGAAACAAGGACCCATGAGTTCCGGAGACCTTTGCTGCAGTGTTGATTTTCTCTGTCCGCGTGAGGGCAGCAGAGCTGAGCACACGTTTGCTCGGTTTCAGCTGCTGTATTCGACCTTTAGTCATGGAAGTTGATGAGCAGGAAAAGAGACTGGAATTTTCTCGTTTCCCTTAGTCTAGTGTTCAGATAAACTGCCTAGTAAGCAGCAGACCACCTAGAAAAAGCTTCATAGAGAAAGGTAGGCCGTGACCAGCTCAGTGGTAGTTCTAGAAGGGCCTCACAGGTCCGATCTGGTAAACAGCCCTGTGCAGTGAGCCCTGGTTCCCTCATGCTAATGCAGCATGATACTCAGCAGTCATCTCAGTTTACCTCTGCTCTGAAGCTTGAACTCTGCTGCACGTGTTGACATCCAAATTCCTGCTGAATCAAGTCTCAGAGTAAAAGCTAACCAGGACTGAGCCCTAAGTGGGCATTTTCCAGCCTCCTGTGGTGGCACACAC